ATAAACTTAAAAGGGATCACATAATTGTATGTAAGACCTGAAACCATAATATTCCTAGAATAAACGTAGGTGGTAAACTCCTTGACATTTGTCTAAGTGATGTCTTTGTAGATTTGTCTTCAAATGCAAGTGTCACAAAAGCAAAAATAAACATATGAATATACCAAACTAAAAAGGTCTGTACAACAAAAGAAGCCATTACTAAATGAAGAGGAAATCTGCTAAATGTAAACCATATATCTGATAAGAGTTTAATATCCAAAATATACAAAAGACTTATACAACTAAGCAACAACAAAACAAATAATATTTAAAAAGGGCAGATAACCATGGACAGAAAATTCCCAAAGAAGACATACAAATGGCGAACAGACACATGAAAAGATGTTCAATAGCACTTATCAGGAAAGTCCAAATTAAAACCACAATGAGTTATCACTTTACACTTGTGAGTATGGTTAAAATGAAAAACACAAAAAATAACAAGTGTTGGTGAGTATGCAGAGATAAAGGAATCTTCAGGCACTGCTGATGCGAATTCAAACTGGTGAAGCCACTGTGGAAAAGAATATGGAAGTTACTAAAAATTGTGAAATACAATTACCATATGATTCACTAATTCCACTATTGGATCTTTACATAAAGAATTGAAAACGCTAATTCAAAAAGATATATGCACTCCTATGTTTCTGCAGCATTATTTGCAACAGCCAGTATATGAAAGCAATTCAATTGTCTATTCATAGATGAATGAATAAAAAATAAGTGATGTATTTACATATAAAACATATGTAATGTATATATACAGAAATAATGTATATATCTACACATTATATATAATATGTTATATATACAAATATATTTATATATCAAATATACAAATACATATAAATATATACAATGTATATATACAAATAGTTTTATATATACACAAATTATATATATACATATATATTTATATTTAAATAATGGAATATTACTTAAGCCCTGCATCAGCACTGTGCTGACAGCACATAGCGTGCTTGGGATTCTCCCTCCTCTCTCTCTGCCCCTCTCCATCTCAGGAGCATACTCTATCTCTCTCAAAATAAATATATAAACTTAAAAAAATCTTTTAAAAATTTTATAAATTTAATCATACCATGTGGAAGTAGAAATATATCAAACATTTATAACATACACATAAATATATACAAACATGAGAAAAGGTGTAAATAGAGAATTTACAGCTCTCATTCTAAATCTGTAGCCATGGGTCTTTAAAACATAGTAACAATTTCTGGTTTATCTAAAATGGTTAGCTCTTGTCTTTTCTCCACTCAAACTTTTGTCTGAATTGTGTTTCTAACAAATGGGAAAATGTAAGAATATTTGTTTACCAATATTTGTGGAAGAGAATTTCAAGACCTTCCCTTGCCCTGATGATGTAATTTTATGGAGGCTGTGGACCTAGCTGTAGGTGAGTGATGGAGGAGACACCTAATGGCTGTATGGGTGTTTCCATGACCAGGATAGTGCCCAAAATATCTAGTTAATTTCCAATTAGGCAGTTTCTTTTTCAATTTTGGGGACTTGCTTTTGGGGGGATCAATTACTTCAGAGTCCTTTTTTTTTTCAGTTACTTCAGAGTCCTTGAGGCAGGGCTTGGAAAGGAGCCCAAAGTTCAAATGACTATAGAAATTAAAGTTGGGAAAGATCTGGTAGAAATGGATGAAGGATGGAGACTGTATTGACTCAATGGGGGATATGCCAAAGGATTCAAGGGAACTGAATGGAAGATCTAAGGTGGAAAAAGGGGAAACAGAAGGGGAAGCCATAGGAAGGAAGAAATATCAGGTGAGCCATTTTGGTCAGATCTTTTAATATTTTAATACATTTGATAGCTTCTTTTCAGACCCAGATTAGTAAAGAAGCAGGTTGAATTCCAAGTTATTGGCAACATCATGCCAACAAGGAGGAGATGGTCAGAACTGGCAGAACATACAGTCAGCAGGAATTCCAAACAGGGGTTTAAGTCATTGGAGAAGTTTCCGTGGGTAGAACAGAACCAAACTGGAAGAACAGAGAAAACTTAAAATATAGCTCCTATCAGAGTCTCAATCACCTTCCAGTTACTTTCCAATATCAGTGTCTGGCCACGAAATTCTCAACATAAAAATATCCTTTCAAATATCTTATTATTAGCTTTCAACCAAAATAAGCAGTAGATATTTGTGAGAGAATTAAAGTCTTAGGGAAAAAAAAAAAAAACATTTTCCTTTTTATTTTTTATTTTAAACCAAAGATATACTCATCAGGGGATTCAAGACCAAAGTTAATATGCCTTTTGTGACTTAATCATGGTCTAAAGGGGTGTCTCAAAAGAGAGTGCAAAATATGCACCCTCTCAAAGTTCTGAACCACTCTTAAAGATAGCCAAAAAAAGACTTAGATAATCTCGCCAGGGCTGACAATGGTCAGTAGGATGTTAGCTGCAGATGGAGTAAAAACCATATTTATTTCTTCCCAATACTGGGAGCTCCCAACCTGATGGTTGGTTTCCTGCACATGTAGCAACCAACTACCTGCATGCATAGGCCGGTGGAAAGCCAAACCATGTTCTCAGGACACAAATGAGCAATAGGAATGCAATAGCTGTCCCTAGAAAAGAAAGACTAAATTACCAATGGGTATCTCAAAAGCAATTTAACGGGTGTCAAAATCTAAAGAAGCATTTTAAATTGCTTTTATCCTGCTAATCTGAATTTGGAAAAGAAGCAATAAAGAAGAGTTTTGTTTTGTTTTCCTTTCTCTCTATACTGGGCACTACTGAGTTACAGGAGAGCTGACTTTGACGTCGATTCTTACTTTTTGCCAACTTCTGGGAATTTTTCCAAGATCCCTTCTGCATGCTCCAGAGCTAATTCAACATCCCAGTCATACCTGTGCAAGTACTAGAAACTGTATGAGAGAAAAAAGAATAATCCTCTATCCTTTCAGTTCTTGACTGGGATCCCTATAATAAGAAAAAAATATAAAATTATTTAATGCAAGTATCATGTGACAAGGGAGGTTTCATAACTAAATTAAGACCCAAAGAAATGGTTGAACCTGAGAGATTTTGTGCTAGATCTGATGAAGCATGGAAAATCATGGAAATATATAATAGGAGAAAGAGTCAGAGCTAAGCTGACTCTTATTTCAAGGTCTATTTGATCAGATTCCTCTCCTTGTCCCATCATCTCTGGGGATATGGATGCTCTTTTCCAAGAGGAATAGAGAAGGCACCCCTCACACGAGGGCTTTATGATCTGAATAATAGGAAAATAAGAAAATATTTTCTGCACATGTCATTCTCACTTTCCTTCAGGGAATTCAACCTAACTCATTATCTGTCATTATGAAAATATGTCATTCTCTTACAGCTTCTATCCTAAAGATTTTAGCGTCCATTACTGATTACTCCTTACATCACTGGTGATAATAGATTGTTAAGAATGGTGATTTTTCAATCATTTCTTCTATATTGACCAGTTGCCAGTCTTCTAAAAGAAAAGTTTTTTAATTAGTGTTTTCCCTGATAATAAAAACACATTATAGTGCAGGAACTAAAATCCAGGAATTTTCCATAAAGTATTCAATTTCAAAACATTTTATCTAGTACCATTTTGCCAATATAAATTTAACAACAAGCAGTCTATAAGAGTCTTTTTCTTTTTTGACAGTTTTCCCCAGGTAATTCAGAGAGTTGGTACACATATATATCAAACAAATCCAATTGTGTCTGCATATTTTTTTCTTTAAGGGTAAAGAACAAAAATAAGTGGAGACTTTTTCATGGATTCTATGGGAAAACTTAAAGATAATTTTATGTATAAGAGATATAAAAATTATTTTATCATGAATGAAAAACATATTAGTATATATCTACAACTGATAATGACATGGAAAAATTAAAAGTTGTCAGAGGATATTTGGGGGCATGATTAAGTGAGGTCATTTGTGCCTAAGAAACAATATGAGCCATCTATTTAATCAAAGTGACAAAAAACATTCATATTATGATTTAAAAATAACAGAATATGATGGAAAATATCTACGAAAAACCTTTGCATTATTTTCCTTAAACAATGAAAGATAGAACAATGTCAGTGTAAAGTCAAGAAGGTTTTTTAAAAACATAGAATCTTTATGCAGTTAGGTACAAAGTAATTTTAAAAAAACATGTTGGAGGCACTAGGGAATAAGCCAAAAGAAAGTCCATTCCCAACTGAGAAACGCCTGATACAGTTTTAATATATTTCATAGCTTCGTTTCATTCAGCTTAGAAACATTCAGCCTGACATAAATAGAGGTGAAGGCTTTTCTAAATTATAGGCAGGTAGACATGCAGACTTTCATGTCTTACAGCTTCAGACCTCTGCCTGGTATCTCTCTGGAAATACTATCTACTCAGCTGATCAGGATTTATCTTTGGGAACTGTGCTGAGATGCAACTCTCTCCAGGATTTGTCTCTGTTTTAGGTGTCTCTCTTGTGTGTTTATAGGTGTATGCATACCTTTAGAATGGCCCTTAGGCTACTTACGTTTGCTTGTTTTTTGCTCTGCTTCAGCACTAGACAGGTTAATCCTTCAGGAAAATAATGTGTGAATTTCATCTTCGTAGTTCAAATGTTTTTTATGGCACTGTACTTCTTGAAGTGTTTCTTTTTTTAAAATTTTGAGTACTGAAAATGAGTTATTAAATCACAAAAAATATAAACATCATAAAAAACAAGCAACTCTTTTAGATTATACTACAAATGGAGAGTCTTTGTCATAGAAGGCCACTGAATAAGAAACATGTGGCACTTATGTGTTAGTTGTATGTAATGCTATTATACGAACTGAAAATAGTCAATTAGGCTGTTGAAGATTTATTTATGTTGGTATATGTGAGTACATAGTTTTCTTCTATCAAGTTATTCCAAAATTAGGAATGAGGTAACCAAATCTATTGTGATTATTGACAGATGTTAATGTTAAAAGAAGTGAGACGTTTGGCCAAGTGTTTGCTGCAACAATCTCATAAGAGCCCATTTCATGTCCTTTTTCCTCAGGCTGTAGATTATAGGGTTGAGTATTGGAGGTATAACAGTGTAAATCACAGAAAGCAACCTGTCAATAACTGAGGGTGGATTTGAGGTTTGTTTGAGATAAACAAAACAAGCAGTTATAATAAAAAGAGTAAAAACAACAAGATGGGGAAAGCATGTGGAGAAAGCTTTTGACTGACCTTTTGTGGAAGGAATCTTCAGTACAGTGGAGAAAATATAAACATAGGAGATCACAATGCAGATGAAACATGACATACATTAACACATACCTATCCCAATACTTGTATACACTACCAGAAGTGTTTCAGAACAGGAAATCCTCAGCGATGAGGAAACATCACGGAAAAACTGAGGGATCACATTGGAGTCACAGAATGGCATGCAAAACGTGCCAGGAGTATACACAGCTCCGAAATATCCTCCAATGGCCCAGGAAACACCTGCCATGAGTGCACAGGTACCAGCGTTCATGATGACCTCATACTTCAGGGGACAGCATATGGCTACATAGCGATCATATGACATGTCAGTGAGGACAAATACCTCACCTGCTAAGAAGGAAGTCATTAAAAGTAGTTGGAAGACACACCCTAACATGGAGATCAAATTGCTGTAAGTTAGGCTGTTGACGATGAATTTGGGGAGTGGCACAGACACAAGGAAGACATCCAAGAATGAAAAATTATTCAGGAAAAAGTACATTGGTGTTTGTAGCTGCTGGTCTAAGGTAATGAGAGTGATGAAGAGAAGGTTACTCATCAGGACAGCCAGGTAAATCACTAGGAAGAGCACACCATATAATATCTGAAGCTCTTGGATGTCAGAAAATCCTACAAGAAGAAATCTTGTCACCAGGGTGACATTGGCCATGCTAGATTCTCTTCACTGCCTGTCAGGACAAGGAGATAATGAAAAAGTCAATTTCAACAATCTCACAAGAATTATATTGATATACAGAATCATTTAATTGAAAAAGAGCCATGATACGTATCTTAAATATTTCTGCAGAAATGTCTTTTTTTTTTTTTAAGGTAAAGGGCTTCATAAGTAATATGTGAATTCAATTAATCTTCATATAAGCTACATCTGATTCTGTAGCTTCAACCTGAACTTGCTACCAGATGTAAATAAGTTGACTAAATAGGGACGTTTTCTCAACACGCTAGGTACTTGCCTCAGACTGGTATTGCGCCCTGCATAATGACAAATCTTTTTGCTTTCTGGAAAAGCAATTCAAAGTTCTATGTCTTTATAGTGTTTTGGATTAATAATAATCTACCAGGAGCAAATTAACAATTCTCATTTTCTATTAACAATCATTACCTCACATTTATACTTTATTAAATACTCCACTGTAAGCAAATAACTTTTTAAAATATTATAGACATAATCAAAGTGATACAAACTAGGATTCTTTTTTCAATGTTTATATTATCTTGAGGCCATGCAGTCATGTATGTGGAATGTTTTACTTCATATGAGAAAGAAATAAAGACATTATTTAGCAAAACTTAGTGTCCTTTGAAAACACACACGTAGAAAGCTATGCTATTGTAGCACCTTGTCAGTGGTTGCTCTGAAATAAAAGCTTCTTTAGAAGTTACTATAACACAATGTCTTACCCATTCTGTCTGACTGTATGTTTTCTTCATTATGTTATGTTGCCTAGAATTTATGTTTCCAATATATCAGATATTATCAAAATATTACCTATATTATTTTTTACTGTACAGAATTATTTATTGAAAAAGTCAGTAAGTAATTCATATATATTAGACACCAAACTGGATGACAGAGATAAAAAAATTGTTTTCTGGAAGCTTTCTGTCAGTAAGAAGAGAGAGACAATGATAAATAAATGAATCTATAAAGAAGAAAAATAGATGATGATGGATGCCATTATAAAAAATTTTTTAAAAGATACTATTTTACTTGTGGGGATGAGCACTGGGTGTTATATGGAAACCAACTTGACAATAAACTATTAAAAATATACTATTTTATAGATTTTTTCCAAGTGACTACTCAAGGATAGAGGGGTAAGGGATCCCTTTTGGGGTTACCTAAAAGCTAAAGCCTAAATAAAGTGTCGATTATAGAACATAGTTAAATAAAAGAAAGTAAAAGTAATGGACATTTTGGATCATATGTGGAGAAGCCATTTGTGGTAAACTTGAAGTGTGTATAGTAGAGCAGTGAAATAATCTTGAATACATTTATCAGCTTAATCCAAATGTCTGTCTGGAGAAATACACAAAGATACACCAAAAGAGGAAGATGGGTGAAAAAATTGACCAATTGAATCTCATTGTTTTTGGTTTCTATCCTATTAAAAGTTTTCTGAATAGCCTTATTAAGTGATCATCTCCTAAGGCCTTTTGGATTGTAATCAGTGATATATTATATAGGCAGAATTGTTCAATTCTCAGAAAACATTGTGTAAAGTATCTGAGAGGGCACAATTCAGAGTTCTACTTGAATAATAATAAAGTACTTAAATATTTCCTTAATTCCACTTATTAATAAACTATAAGCTTGTCATTATCGCTGCATAATTGATACTAATAATTTGAGCAGTTTGCTGAATATGAAGACTTCTGACAAATATTGCTAATTACTGACTCAATGGGTCTCTGATTGAAGTTAAAGAATGTTCATTTAGTCAGTTGACTTGGCGATTCTGGCATGTATTACACTTTGAGAATCCTTGCTAGAAGCTTGTGATTTAGCATAGAAAGCAAATAAATTTTATTGGTCATCTGTCAAAAACTATCATTGTAGAGTAATACACCTGAAATCATTTTTAAAGACATTATAAGTATTTGGAGGTGATACAATTTGTGTGTGTGTGTGTGTGTGTGTGTGTTTGCTTTGACATCTAATAAATCTTACTAGCATTAGTTAAATATTTTCAGTTAGTTCCTTTCAAAATAATTTTGGCTACTGGAGATATAATTAGGAAAATGTCATTTGTCTACTTCTTCACAATTGGAAGAAAATATTTTAATTAATGAAACTTAATCTTGTTACATGGAAAGTTAATAGCATAAATAGTAGTATCGAGAATTAAATAATACTTTAAACAATCATTTACAAAGCTTGACATAATTAAATTTTGACGGTTTTGAAATATTGACGTTTTCATGAGTATGATCCAAATTTATTTTTGCTAAGATAAAACAACTTTAAAATAAAAATTAGATAGGTTGCTTGTGTTAGGAGATATACAGTTTTGTTATGTAAGACAAAGAGATCTCAAACTTTGAATTAAAATTGTATTTACTTCATTAAAATATAAGCACATTAATTTGATGTTAGATATGATATAAACATGAATTTTGAAATTATCACAAAATATAGATGGTTTAGTTATCGTCTTCTTTTACATTAAGCTATCCTAATTTGTAAAATGAGTTCAAACTTACAGAAACGTTGCAAGAGTATATCAAGAACCTTCAGAAAAACTTTACCCTAATTCTCCAATTTTTTAAGGTTTTAATTTTATTTTTTTTAATTTTTTAAATGTTTTTATTTATTTCTGACAGAGAGAGAGACAGCATGAGCAGAGGAGGGTCAGAGAGAGAGGGCGACACAGAATCTGAAGCAGGCTCCAGGCTCTGAGCTGGCTGTCAGCACAGAGCCCGACGCAGGGCTCGAACCCCCGAAACCCTGAGATCATGACCTGAGCCGAAGTCGGACGCTTAACCAACTGAGCCACCCAGGCGCCCCTAAGGTTTTAATTTTAATTCCAATATATTTAACATACATTGTTCTCTTAGTTTTAGGTGTACAATATAGTAATTCAACATTCTGTACATTAATTAGTGGTTATCACGACAAGTGTACTTTTTCATCCCCACAAACTATTTCACTCATGCCCCTCCCACCTCCCTTCTAGTAATCAACATTTGTTATCTATAGTTAAGAGTTGTTTCTTGGTGTATCTCTCTTTTTCTTTGCTTTGCTTCTTTCTTTTTTCTTAAGTTCAACATAGAAGTGACATCATATCACTGGGCACTTGAGCTGCTTCCAAATTTACAATGGTAAATAATGCTGTAATAAACATAGGAATGAATGTATCCATTTGAATTAGTTTTTGAACTTTTTGGGGTAAACCTTCAGTAGTACAATTACGGATTGTAAAGGAGTTTTAATTTTAACATTTTGAGGAACCTACACACTCTTTTCAAAAGTGACTGTAGCAGTTAGCATTCCCACCAACAGTGCACGAGGATTCCTTTTTCTCCACATTCTTGCCAACGATCATCGTTTCTTCTGAATTTTATATTAGTCATTCTCACAGGTGTAGAGTGATATCTCATTGTAGCATTGCATTGTGTTTCCCTGATGCTCAGTGATGGTGGGCATCTTTTCTTGTGTCCGTTGGTCATCTGGATGTCTTCTTCAGGAAAATGACTATTTATGTGTTCTCCCTATTTTAATTGGATTATTTGTTTTGGGGGTGTTGAGTTTATAAGTTCTTTATATATTTTTAGTATGAACCTTTTACCAGATATGTCATTTGCAAATATCTTCTCCAGTTCTGAAAATAGTCTTTTTGTTTTGCTGATTGTTCCCTTCACTATGCAGAACCTTTTTATTTTGGTGTAGAAACACTTACCATATACATGGTTGTAAAAAAAAAAAAAGAGAGAGAGAGAGAGAGACAAAGTAGCAATATTTGTAATGGAGAACATCTACTTAATTTTTTAAATGTTTATTTATTTATTTTCCAAAGGAGTGAAGAGTCAGAGAAAGAGGGAGAGAAAATCCCAAGCCCCAACTCCAGGTTGTCAGTGCAGAGTCCATTGCAGGACTCGATCTCACAGTGAGATCATAACCTTAGCTGAAATTAAGAGTCAGACATGTAGCTGAGTGAGAGATGCAGGTGACCCTGGAGAAACTTTAATTTAAAAGAAAGTCTGTAATGAAATCAAAGAGGGCACTATAACATAATAAAGGACACAATCGAACCAGAAGATCTAACAAATGTAAATATTTAATCACACAACATTGGAGCACCCAAGTATATAAAACGATTAATAACAATCATAAAGGTACTAATTAATAACAATGCAATAGTAGGAGTCTTTAACACCACACTTACATCAATATACAAATCATCCAAACAGAAAATCAAAAAAATAAACAGTGGCTTTGAATGAAACATTGTAACAGATGGATCTAACAACTATATTCATAACATTCTATTCTAAAACAGCAGAATACACATTATTTCCAAGTGTACATGACATATTCTCCAAAATAGAACACATATTAGGTCACAAATCAGGCCTAAACACATTCAAAATATTGAAATCAGACCATGCAACTTTTCTGACCACAATACTATGAATTTGGAAGTTAACCACAAGAAAAAAATTGGAAAGTCCACAAATTCATGGTGGTTAAACAAGATGATGCTAAGCAATAAAAGAGTCAACCAGGGATTCAAGGAAGATATAAAAGTACATGGAAACAAATGAAAATGAAAACGAACACAAAATAGTTCAAAACCTTTGGCATGCAGCAAAAGTGGTCCTAAGAGGGAGGGAGGTAGTAATGCACGCCTACCTCAAGAAGCAAGAAAAATCTCAAATAAATAACCTAACATTACACCTAAAGGAGGTGCATAAAGAAAAACAGACAAAGACAAAAGCCATCAGAAGGAAGGAAATAATAGATTAGAGGAGAACTAAATTGTATAGATTCTAAATGACAGCTATAGTGGTAGTAGTAGTAGTAGTAATAGTAGTAGTAGTAGTAGTAGTAGTAGTAGTAATGGACTATATCAGTGAAATCAGGACATGATTATTATAAAATTAATAAAATTTTTAAGCCTGTAGACAGACTTATTAAAAAAGAAAGGG